TTATCTTGAATCTGTGATTGTTAGTTTAGTCTTAATTTTTTTAGTTGAGTTCCGCGTGGTCGGGCTTAGTCGTGTTTATATATTTTTTTCTAAGAGTGAGTTTGGCCGCGGACGGACTGCACGGATGGCGCCGAATATCAACAATCGTTCGGCGTCTCAGAACTAGGACCCATGTCTTTAACAGTGGCGTAACTTCCTCAGGGCATGATATCGTTGCTGTTACTGAATCCTGGCTTCAACCAGATTTTCGGGCTACTGAACTCTTTCCTGATTCTTATCTGGTCTACCGCTCAGACAGAAGGCAAGATCTCACCGGAGTCTCCAGGGGCGGTGGTGTCATGCTCGGTGTTCGTGACAGTTTTGAGTCTGCACTTCTGGATACCACCGGCATCAGCAACAGTGCTCCAAGCATAGACTTTTTAGGCTGTAAGATCTCTTTAGATTACTTTGTATTTTATGTATTTTTAGTATACATTCCTTCCACTGCTGCCAACTTCGAAGTTGAGAACTTTTTTGAATCTTTGTCGTCGCTGGACTTGTTGTTTGGTGGATCTGTCTTGTTATTGGGTGACTTCAATATTCCTTCTTTCACTGTTTCAGCTCCTGTCAATGTCCGACATAGATCCCTACTCAACCTCAGCGCCATATTGAATCTTAAACAGCATAACTCTGTAACTAACCTAAATCACCATTGCTTAGATCTCGTTTTCGCCAATTTCGACGTTGCGATATTGAGAAACGCAGTACCATTTATCGACGAGGATCCACAGCATCCTTCGTTAATAGTTTCTCTCCAAGTCTCTTTTCCACACGTCTCTAATTTTCCAATCAATAGGAACGATCAAACCGAATTTAACTTTAAGATGGCCAACTATCCTCATATGTATGAACTGATGCAACATGCAGACTGGAATAGTGTTATGGAGTGCTCGGATGTCGACAGGGCTCTAACACTTTTTTACGACATGCTAAACAATATTTTTGCCCTTTGCACGCCCACTAAAACACAGAGACTAAAGAAATGATCGCAACTATATTTGAGAAGGAGAAAGCTTTCTGCAATTTCAAGCAACATAAATCTGCTTATTATTTTGGCCGATATACCGCGCTACGCAAGTCAATCAAGTTCCAACGCATTGCCTATACTGATTTTCTTCGTCGTGCTTAGTTAAGTATACATGATAGTCCTACCAATTTCTGGTCATTTATTCAGCGGAAGAAGGCAGATTCGCGAATCCCAGCCTCGATGTCCTATTCCAGTCAGCCATGCCAAGGGCCTAATATGGTTGTTGCAGCTTTTGGTAAGTACTTTGGTAGCGTTTACACCATATCCCAGCCAGCTTAGCTTACTATCCAAGATGTCAAAGCAAACCACTCAAGAACAAAATTACCGCTGGTCCTGATGGCATACCAAGTTTTATCGTGAGAGACTGTTCCCACACACTGTGTGCTCCTTTATGTCACGTTTTTAACCTGATACTTGAGACGGGTGTTTATCCAGAGCCTTGGAAATATGGCAAAGTTTATCCTATTCTCAAAAAAGGTGATCCCTCTGTTGTTGAAAACTACCGGCCTATTTCGATCTTGTGCAACTTTTCTAAAATATTCGAGATTATATTAAATAATTTTATTTTTGCTCAAATTAGAAATAAACTATCTACGCAACAACATGGTTTTTATGCGAAAAGATCATATATCACTAACTTATGCTCATTGTCTTCGTATGTCTGTGACTCTCTGAACAAGCAAGGTCAAGTTAACTTTATATACACTGACTTCCACAAAGCATTTGACAAGATAGATCATCACTTACTGATTGAAAAAGCGTCTCATAAATTTGGTTTCTCTGATTCGCTGATTACAGTGTTGAGGTCCTATTTGGTGAATCGTCGACAGTTTGTTGAGATTGAGAGGTTTAGATCAGTTCCTTTTGTTCCAACTTCTGGCGTCCCTCAAGGTTCTAATCTTGGACCTCTGCTTTTCAATATATTTATAGATGATCTCGTATCTTCGATCATTTGCAACAAGCTTGCCTATGCGGATGACCTAAAGCTATACGAAAGCATTGAAACTGGCATGAATTGCATGACTCTCCAGGACAACATCAATATTGTCAGTCAATGGTGTACTAAAAATAAATTGCATCTTAACATCAGCAAGTGTAATGTGGTTTCTTACCACCGCACAAAAACTCCTATAGTCTTTAATTACAATATGGATGGTACTGTCCTGACTAGACTTGCTACTGTGAAGGATCTGGGGATTTTATTTGACCAGTCGTTCTCTTTTGTACCTCACATTACAAAAATGGTTTAAAGTGCAATGCAAATTTTAGGATTCGTAATAAAAAATTGCAGGCATTTTTGTAGCTCAGCTACTGTTAAATTGTTATTTAACTGTTACGTTAGGTCCAAGCTTGACTATGGCTCGCTGATATGGTCACCACACTCAGTCCATTGAGAGTGTGCAGAGAAGGTTACTAAATTTATTTTTAATCCTGTTACAATAGTCACTAATGACTGTAAAACACCTTCTTTTGGGACCACCTTCTTTTGGGACGTTTTCGAGTTATGGCTTTTTTTTCTTTGCATTTTACTTATTTCTTGCGCGTATTTTGCGGCTTGTCTCGATATATACTTAAGACACCTTCTTTTGGGACAAGGAACAAATATCCTGCAACTAGCAGCCAAGAGCGAGGTCGTCCCGGCGGGGGTAATTTTCTTTCACGCGACAAAAATGTTACACTGAATTATTTTTGTTTCATACTTGTAAATGTATAGATGGATAAGCTAACTCACCTTGTACCGAAATCTGACTTTGTCTGATAATTTTCTTCTTTTTCGCTATTACTCTCTTCCTTAATGGCGTTTTTCGCCAATCAGGATCGTTAATAAGATCGTCGCCGAACGAATCTTCAGGTTCAGATGCGTCTATCTACAAAATTAAGAGTATATATTTCTCATATAAATCATAATCACCCCCCAAAAAACTTACAGGTTCTGCAAGTTTATCATCTTCTTCAATGCTCTCAACAACAGTCGATTTGTTTCTTTTCCTTGAATTTTGGGATATCGGGACATTCTCCAAATTGGCTTTCTAAACACAACAAAACAAAAAAGAACATTTTGCAACCAAAATTTACTTGAATCTTACCTCATTCTCTTCTAATTTATTCTTTAACTTATTTATTAGTTTTGCTGCTCTTCTATCTGTTTTTCTTGTTTCTCAATTAATTCCTTTTGAGTCTGGCATCGAGACAATCCGAAATCGCCATTTTGACCTAGAGATTATTAAAAATGAAACATCTTTGTCTGCGTTAACATATTTGGGGTGAATAACAAACATACAAGTCTCTATTAATAACACTTCTTGAAATTTTATACCAAATTATATGATTTGGATTTGTGAGTAATGAAGGATGGAAAAAGTAGGACTTGTCAAATGCTTTTCTTCCGACATACAGGATGTTCAAATATTGCGATTTTTTGTAACAACACGAATTATCTTAATTTAGTTTGCAATTTTCAGTTATTTTAGGTTTTATTGTTATATTGTTAGAGCAGGTTTTAGCGTTCATCAAAAGAAAAAAAAAACTTAAATAAGAACATACAGCATTGCGCCTCGATATTGAACATTTTCAACATACTTATAGCACCTCATTTAAACGATAATTGAAAAACATTTCGTCAATTTTTAATATTAAATCAAAGCCGCTCCTAGTTTTTTTCTACACTCTATGGTTCTTGATCATTGTCGTATGACAAATGTTTACTATTACCTAATCGATTTTGTTTTTAAAATGCAATTAAAAAATAATAAGAAAAATAAAAGCGAACAGTTCAATTGTCATGTTTGATGTCGCGGAATTACTGAGCAACACTACCGAAACCAGGAGGAGTAATGCACTCGTTAAATTACATGATGTAATTTCAATAACACCCTGACTATTCAGAACACCTGTCAAGACTTTGCTGTCAAGAGTGCATTCATATAGTCTAAACGCATCAGACATTTGCCCATAAAAGCGACATATCGCTGGTTAAAACCAACTCATTCCAAAAGCCGCCAGAGCAAATAATTCCTAATATAATGAAACTTGAGTGCAGACTTACATCTTGTATTCTTTGAAACCTTACTTGAAGTTAGTTTGGCATGGTGCGTAGCTTTCTATTAGCGCCACTCGTTTTATCCACATGAGTTTAAATTATTACAGAGCTAAAGTGGGAGCTCGTCAGAGTATGGGGATAGATTTGAATCGTTGGATCTTTATTTACATATTGCTTTAATAATTATTTCAATTTTTTTAACTTCCAGTTAAGTTCTGTAAAATCAGACGATTTTATTAGTGTATCATTATTTTCAGAATTGTTTTCTAAATATAGATTACTAACAACTTTTTGTTAATTGGACATTTTGTACAAGAACTTCAAATTAAAGAAGAAGAATTAAAGAAAGAATTAATATCAACAGGTATTATTGGACTGCCCCGAGACCCCACCACGACTACTGGTGGAGCGTCTGATCTTGTTGGGTGGCTTTATTAATGTTTGATATTATCTCCATTCATCTATGAACAATTTTTATAATATATTATTACTAAATAAAAAATGATACACCGAATTATTTTTGTTTCATACTTGTAAATGTATAGATGGATAAGCTAACTCACCTTGTACCGAAATCTGACTTTGTTTGATAATTTTCTTCTTTTTCGCTATTACTCTCTTCCCTAATGGCGTTTTTCGCCAATCAGGATCGTTAATAAGATCGTCGCCGAACGAATCTTCGGGTTCTGATGCGTCTATCTACAAAATTAAGAGTGTATATTTCTCATATAAATCATAATCACCCCCCAAAAAACTTACAGGTTCTGCAAGTTTATCATCTTCTTCAATGCTCTCAACAGTCGATTTGTTTCTGTAAAGGGTTGGGGGAAGATGGTTGTAAATCACCCTCAAAATTTAAACGAGAAAGAGCGGCAAGAAAACGGTAGGACATACATCACCCGAAACGGTTAATCACCCACGTTGATGGTTTCCCGCGTCGTCGTCTGCTCGGCCGGGTCTTCTTAGGGGTATTTTCTGGAGGGTTGGGGGTGGTAAGGACCACAACACAGCGCGGGGTTCTCGCGAACCGGTCACAAAAGAGAGCTTGTTTTTTCGTGGTTCGCACTACGGACGCTCACGCAAGTCTGTCTTTTCGCGCGGCTTAACCAAGGTTGGGTATGGTGGGGGTGTTGTATACACAGCGCGAAAATAAAAAGTTAACCCAAAACAAAAAAATTATGAAGTTACCGAAAAATGTTATTCAACCCTTAACATTTTCTTTTCCTTGAATTTTGGGATATCGGGACATTCTCCAAATTGACTTTCTAAACACAACAAAACAAAAAAGAACATTTTGCAACCAAAATTTACTTGAATCTTACCTCATTCTCTTCTAATTTATTCTTTAACTTATTTAGTAGTTTTTGCTGCTCTTCTATCTGTTTTTCTTGTTTCTCAATTAATTCCTCTTGAGTCTGGCATCGAGACAATCCGAAATCGCCATTTTGACCTAGAGATTATTAAAAATGAAACATCTTTGTCTGCGTTAACATATTTGGGGTGAATAACAAACATACAAGTCTCTATTAATAACACTTCTTGAAATTTTATACCAAATTATATGATTTGGATTTGTGAGTAATGAAGGATGGAAAAAGTAGGACTTGTCAAATGCTTTTCTTCCGACATACAGGATGTTCAAATATTGCGATTTTTTGTAACAACACGAATTATCTTAATTTAGTTTGCAATTTTCAGTTATTTTAGGTTTTATTGTTATATTGTTAGAGCAGGTTTTAGCGTTCATCAAAAGAAAAAAAAAACTTAAATAAGAACATACAGCATTGCGCCTCGATATTGAACATTTTCAACATACTTATAGCACCTCATTTAAACGATAATTGAAAAACATTTCGTCAATTTTTAATATTAAATCAAAGCCGCTCCTAGTTTTTTTCTACACTCTATGGTTCTTGATCATTGTCGTATGACAAATGTTTACTATTACCTAATCGATTTTGTTTTTAAAATGCAATTAAAAAATAATAAGAAAAATAAAAGCGAACAGTTCAATTGTCATGTTTGATGTCGCGGAATTACTGAGCAACACTACCGAAACCAGGAGGAGTAATGCACTCGTTAAATTACATGATGTAATTTCAATAACACCCTGACTATTCAGAACACCTGTCAAGACTTTGCTGTCAAGAGTGCACTCATATAGTCTAAACGCATCGCTGGTTAAAACCAACTCATTCCAAAAGCCGCTCGAGGCAAATAATTCCTAATATATAGAAACTTGAGTGCAGACTTACATCTTGCATTCTTTGAAACCTTACTTGAAGTTAGTTTGGCATGGTGCGTAGCTTTCTATTAGCGCCACTCGTTTTATCCACATGAGTTTAAATTATTACAGAGCTATAGTGGGAGCTCGTCAGAGCATGGGGATAGATTTGAATCGTTGGATCTTTATTTACATATTGCTTTAATAATTATTTCAATTTTTTTAACTTCCAGTTAAGTTCTGTAAAATCAGACGATTTTATTAGTGTATCATTATTTTCAGAATTGTTTTCTAAATATAGATTACTAACAACTTTTTGTAAATTGGACATTTTGTACAAGAACTTCAAATTAAAGAAGAAGAATTAAAGAAAGAATTAATATCAACAGGTATTATTGGACTGCCCCGAGACCCCACCACGACTACTGGTGGAGCGTCTGATCTTGTTGGGTGGCTTTATTAATGTTTGATATTATCTCCATTCATCTATGAACAATTTTTATAATATATTATTACTAAATAAAAAATGATACACCGAATTATTTTTGTTTCATACTTGTAAATGTATAGATGGATAAGCTAACTCACCTTGTACCGAAATCTGACTTTGTTTGATAATTTTCTTCTTTTTCGCTATTACTCTCTTCCCTAATGGCGTTTTTCGCCAATCAGGATCGTTAATAAGATCGTCGCCGAACGAATCTTCGGGTTCTGATGCGTCTATCTACAAAATTAAGAGTATATATTTCTCATATAAATCATAATCACCCCCCAAAAAACTTACAGGTTCTGCAAGTTTATCATCTTCTTCAATGCTCTCAACAACAGTCGATTTGTTTCTTTTCCTTGAATTTTGGGATATCGGGACATTCTCCAAATTGGCTTTCTAAACACAACAAAACAAAAAAGAACATTTTGCAACCAAAATTTACTTGAATCTTACCTCATTCTCTTCTAATTTATTCTTTAACTTATTTATTAGTTTTTGCTGCTCTTCTATCTGTTTTTCTTGTTTCTCAATTAATTCCTTTTGAGTTTGGCATCGAGACAATCCGGAATCGCCATTTTGACCTAGAGATTATTAAAAATGAAACACCTTTGTCTGCGTTAACATATTTGGGGTGAATAACAAACATACAAGTGTCTATTAATAACACTTCTTGAAATTTTATACCAAATTATATGATTTGGATTTGTGAGTAATGAAGGATGGAAAAAGTAGGACTTGTCAAATGCTTTTCTTCCGACATACAGGATGTTCAAATATTGCGATTTTTTGTAACAACACGAATTATCTTAATTTAGTTTGCAATTTTCGGTTATTTTAGGTTTTATTGTTATATTGTTAGATCAGGTTTTAGCATTCATCAAAAGAAAAAAAAAAACTTAAATAAGAACATACAGCATTGCGCCTCGATATTGAACATTTTCAACATACTTATAGCACCTCATTTAAACGATAATTGAAAAACATTTCGTCAATTTTTAATATTAAATCAAAGCCGCTCCTAGTTTTTTTCTACACTCTATGGTTCTTGATCATTGTCGTATGACAAATGTTTACTATTACCTAATCGATTTTGTTTTTAAAATGCAATTAAAAAATAATAAGAAAAATAAAAGCGAACAGTTCAATTGTCATGTTTGATGTCGCGGAATTACTGAGCAACACTACCGAAACCAGGAGGAGTAATGCACTCGTTAAATTACATGATGTAATTTCAATAACACCCTGACTATTCAGAACACCTGTCAAGACTTTGCTGTCAAGAGTGCACTCATATAGTCTAAACGCATCGCTGGTTAAAACCAACTCATTCCAAAAGCCGCTCGAGGCAAATAATTCCTAATATAATAAAACTTGAGTGCAGACCTACATCTTGCATTCTTTGAAACCTAATTTGAAGTTAGTTTGGCATGGTGCGTAGCTTTCTATTAGCGCCACTCGTTTTATCCACATGAGTTTAAATTATTACAGAGCTAAAGTGGGAGCTCGTCAGAGTATGGGGATAGATTTGAATCGTTGGATCTTTATTTACATATTGCTTTAATAATTATTTCAATTTTTTTAACTTCCAGTTAAGTTCTGTAAAATCAGACGATTTTATTAGTGTATCATTATTTTCAGAATTGTTTTCTAAATATAGATTACTAACAACTTTTCAGTTATTTTAGGTTTTATTGTAGCAAAAAAACTAAAGAGAACAACGAAGAACTTTTGAGCATAAGTTTATATCAACTTTTTTACTTCATTATAATTCGGACTATATGGTGTTCATCGGTTAAAATTGTTTATCAATCCTCTAAACTCTAAAGGGAACCCTACCAAAAGCGTAAGCCGTAATATAATAAACACTATAACTGATGTTAAGTGAACCACTGAAGGCAAACCAATTAAAATTTTTAAAGAACGACCCACTCACTTCCATTTTCGATTCCTCTAAGTTGCCTCACTAATATCGCCACCTTTTCTTCATACACCTGTTGCTGGTTGGACAGGATATCCCTATATTTGTCTTCAGTCAGTTTTAAGGTATGGGCGTCTCTTTCATTTTTCTCTGAAAGTACTTTATTAATCTCCATCAATTCGCTACATTTATTTTTGCACTGAACAAATTTCTTGAAAAATTCTTCGGCTTGCTCAAACAATAATTTGAGCGCATATTTTGCCTCTGCCATAGATTGGATTCTATCAAACCTAGTTTTTGGTTTCTCTATAAAATAGAAAAAAAAGTTTACAGTAATTGTATTTTTTTTTACTAGCCTTCATCAAAATCCAGCAACTTCAGTTGTAAATCTTGAATTTGCACAGATCTTAATTCAATATCATCTTTAATCGTTTTTGTTTCGTTCGACTCCGCAGTTTTCGGATTCTTCATCAGTTCATCTAATTGCTGTTGTAAAATTGCTCTATCATCTAGCAATCCACTTAATGTTGTCTCTAACTCTATCAGGTTCATCATGATCTCTAATTCTTGTTTAAGCTAAAAACGCAGGAATTTTTTATTTTGGTTTTTTTTTTTTAATTACGCTTTATTTGGCCACTGCTGCTAAGGCAATTCGGCCAGCTTCTCGGTAGTGGTGTGCAATAATAAACTATTTCCATGAAGGATGCCTCCGTAAAGAGGGTCTGGGTGATACCATCATCCTACTGGACAGCTATACAGGAAAAAAAATGGACGAAAGAATTAGAATATGTGAAAACAATATTCAAAGTTTTAATCCACATGCATCTAAAAAGCGGCAAACAATTCTAGCAGCAAAATCCAACTGAGTGCGGTGAAATAAAATGGAATTAATATGCAGAGGCGAAGGAAAATTAGCACTAATGAGTGACTCATACAACTGTTGTGATTTTTCCCAATGAAGAGCACAATCAAACAGCACATGACTTAAATCGCCCAGTTCTCCACATTCACAGTCTCCGGAGAGTTTGACTTTGATTCTCTTTAGGTGAGCCGGAGAACAGCAATGGTTGCTTCTCAGTCTACACATAGTTGTGATTTCTCTTCTATTCAGGTCGAGCTTATGAAACCAGGGTTTAGTTGGCGGAGTAGAATAATGTGAGGTGAAATTAACTCCTTTCCCTAATCCTATATGTTTCCATCTGTCGCTCCAAGCATTCCAGATGTTATGCTTTAATTTAGGGAAGAATTCCCTAAAGCTCAATTTTATATTTTCTTGTGGTTCGAGGCGTGCAGCATTGGCGATCTGGTCCGCAATATCGTTTTCTTTTATACTGGTATGGCTTGGTATCCAGCATAATTGGATGTCCTTATTTTGAGTTTTTATTAAGGTAAATAGTTTATTCTTAACCTGCAAGGTTAGGTAGTTAGACTTTGCATCCATCCCAATTTTATTGATATCTTCGAGGGCACTTTTGGAGTCTGAAAGGATGACTGCTTTGTTGATCTCCTTGAATTCAATCCAATCAAGAGCTTGACCAATAGCATAAATCTCGGCAGAGCAAATGGATAGTTCACTTGGTAGGCCTTGTCCCATTTTAAGGTTCGTATTGTAGTTGTAAACGCCAAAACCTACTCGGCCTTCTTTATCTTTTGAGGCGTCTGTAAAAATTAAATGAAAATCTGCGGTCCAAGTCTCGCTCTTCTTAATTTCAAATAATTTGGAGTTATTATTATCTTTCTTTAGTTTTAAGTCTTGGATTTGAACAGAGCTTAAAAGGTTCGGCAGTGGACAAGAGAAACAGGGATAAACTGGGCTCCTGTAAAGTGTATCTAACAGTGAATCAACTCTTTCAAAAGCATCCACAAGTGCAGGAATACTCTTTTTCCGAAAAAAGTAATAGTTTTCATTATAGGTGATATATAACCATCTAACCGCAGCTAAGTTTTCACTGTCCACTAAACTGGCAGCTTTCAATAATGATTTAGTCGCTAGCATGTATCTTCTGTGTTCTAAATCCATTTCACTTGCTTCCCCTAGAAGTATGTTAGTAGGTGTGGACTTCATATATCCCAGAGCTATTCTCAGTGCCTCAAATTGAATTTTGTTAAGTTGAGCAATAAACTTTCTTGAGCTACCACCCAAAAAAGAGGCTCCATAATCCAAATGGGGTCTAACATAAGCTTTGTAAAAAGTTAGAAGGGTAGAGGGATGTGCCCCCCACCAGATTCTACTTATAAATCGCATCATATTCAACCCACCTGAAGCTTTCTGTATCATATTTCTAATTTGTGGCTCCCATGACAGTTTTGGATCAAAAATCACTCTGGGGAGATAATTAACCTTGTAATTCTTCCTGGAAAAAAATATAGATGCAGATTTATTGGGGTTAATCTCAAGTCCTACATTCAAAGACCAAATATGCATATTTTGCAAAGTTCTATTCAAATTGTTCACTATTGTTTGGGCATCAGTCCCAGTACTCAGCAAGGCGGTATCGTTCGCAAACTGTAAAAGTCTTATGTTCTCAGGAATTGTTTCTTTAATTGAATTGATGTAAATATTAAATAGTAATGGAGAAAGAGGGGAACCTTGGGGAACTCCCTTGCTGGTGGTTCTGCCTGACACGAATGTATTAGTAGATGGATCTTTAACTTGTATCTTCCTGTTCGTGAGAAAATCTTTAATGAGCAAAGTCAAATCTCTGGCGATTCCAATTTTGGCCAACACCGAGGTCAATAAGTCAACATTTATATTATCGTAGGCATTGGATATGTCCAAAGTCACCACTGCTGCTAGTTGATTGCGAGCCAAACGGCAGAGGACCTCTGAGGAGATAACTGCAAGATTGTCGAAAGTTCCTTTACCCTTTCTGAAACCAGTTTGGCGAACGTCTATTAAACCTTGGTTCTCTACGAACCATTCCAGTCGGTTTCTGATCATAATTTCAAAAATTTTGCTTATGCAAGAAGCTAGGTTGATGGGCCTGTAGGACGATAACGCTGAGGGGTCTCTCCCCGGTTTAGGAATTGCGATCACCATTTGGGTTTTCCACGTCTCTGGAATGGTGGTTTCCCTCCGAAGTATTTTGTTGAAAAATTTGATAAGACTGCTCCTTCAACAGGGAGATGGCTGAGCACACTGAAAGGTACTTAATCCACACCGGGACTCTTGCTCTTCCGACCTATAACAGCCGCGACAAATTCTGAGATATGGAAGTCTTCGGTATATTCTGATGAGAAGCAACATTCGGGGATGTTACGCAACATAGAGGGAGGTTGCGTCAAAAGATCAAACATATCTTGTGGGATTGAGAAATTCAAGGGAAAATGATAATTTTGGTACCTGATACCTTTAGCAAACCTAATACTGCTCCAAACTTCTTTTGCACTAGTATTTGGAGATAGATTCTCACAAAAGTTGACAAAGCCTTCCTTTTTCTTCTTACGTAGCAGCTGTCTTGTTTGTGCCCGTGTTCTTAATGATTCCAGGAAGTTGGTCTCAGAGGGGTTGTTTTTATAATCTCTGAATGCTTGTCTTTTCCTTTTAACAGCGTTGGTGCACTCATTATCCCACCAAGGTAACCCGTAGTTTAATGAGTGTTTATGCATTGGAACAGATTCTGCAATAGATAGGAAAATTATATTCATAAAATCCTCATAATTTATAGGAGGTGAAGTTCTAAATTTCGTGGAGATTATATTGAAATTATATTTGCTAGTGTAGTTTCTTGTCGAACCTGAGTTGCAACGGTTATTTCCGATGATACCACAAAATAGGAAAATGATCGCTATTCACTCTATCCTGGAGAACCCTGCAGTCAGTAAGTCCAGACAGTCTCTGGGAGCAAAAAGCTACATCTGGAGCGCTGTGTACGCCTGGGCGTGTGAGCCGAGTAGCTGATCCATCATTTAGTACCCACAAATCGTGATCCTTAATGAAATCATAAAGAATGTTCCCACTTCTAATTCCCCGTGAGTAACTGACCTGGGAACCCCATATTGGATTATGGGCATTAAAGTCTCGCATAAAGAGGACTGGTTTATTACGGGTTAGATCGAAAATTGAATCGAGGCTTGCCCTGACCAAACAAATATCTGGAGGGATGTAAACACGACAAATAAAAAAATCGACAAGCTCTGCAAGAATAACCTGACACCTCTCTGGTATATTAATTCTGCTTAAGTCGATGATATTATATTTTATTTTGTTTTTCAAGAAAATTGCTATACCATCTGCACCATTAGGTTTATCAGCTCGTACAGAAGAGAACCCTGATATTTTAAAGTTGGTGTTGGGTTTGAGCAAGGTTTCATTGAGCAATAAGATCTGTAGCTTAAAATCCCTTATAACTCTAATGATAGCATCTTTATTTTTTTCAGCCCCGCAAATGTTCCAATGAACGATATTCATTATAGCTCAACTATAAAATGCTTGTGACTAAAACTTAAACTTAGTTTTGTTACGTAAAAACTACTGTTAGATTAAAACTAGTGATAAGATTACCTTTTCTTTTTCTAACCCCTGTAGGTCAACCGCTGCCATCGCAGCCGCCCCCCCTCCGTAGGTCAAATGAACCAAAATATTGTTTGATATTGTTGACACAATTTTCATCCATACCCTTTATTGACATAACGTCTTTTTTGAAAGCTTCAAACTTGTTGCATACTTCTTCCCAGCCATTTCCTACAGGAGTTACTTCCATTTCCGACTCTGATGTCGAGTTTTCACCTACTTGTATAGATGAGACTTTTCTTCTTGCACTTGAGGGTAACAAAGTTAGTTCATGGGCTACTTTATCATACCCTTTGATAAATTGGGTGTCAGGTCGTTTTCTTTTAAGTACTGATGTATATGAGGAACAGCCCTGAGGACTTATTGGATGAGGAGTTTTATTCTGAGTTTTTTTATTTAAACTAGAAAAATCTTCTGGTTTTCGGGTAAAGCCTTGGTTTGTATTAATTAGCCGTGGATGCAGTTTAGCTGCTTCATAAAAAGAAAGGTTGTAGAAGCTCATGGTTTCGTTAATTTGTTTTTGCCGTTTGTATTCAGAACATCCCCAGTCAGTAGCAGTGTGGTGTCCCTTGCAATTTACGCAGCTTGGTTTTGGATTTGCTTCACAATTTGGAATTTTACACGTTTTAGTCAGATTGTTAAGATGATCTGCGGGGCATTTCATTTTTTTCATTGCTTGCCCTCTTTTTTCACAAACAAACATAAGATGATCTTCTGTACAAAAACCGCAACGAGGCTTGCCTCTACAATTATTTTTGACATGTCCAAATCTGCAACAATTGACGCACATTATAACCGGGTTAACATATTTTTCCACTTCTCTTTCATTATTAAAAATATTTACAGTTTGGGGTAATGATTTGCCTTCAAATGTTACAATATAATTGTTTGTGGGGATGGTTTTCATTACTGTTTCGCCAGAAATAGCAAGTATTTTCTTCCTTCTTAAGACTCTTTTTACATTTAATATCTTAATCGACCTGGCCCGGGATCCTTCCCCTGTATAAGTTACCGCTTCTGAGTAAAAATCCTCTTCCGTAATTTGGTCCCCTACATCCTTGAT